TTCCCGGTGAAGCCTTGTGTGGCAAGCAGGACGAGGCCGAGAGTTGTGAGAGCGGGACGAGCTCACGGAGGAGCGACAACAGTGAAGGACGAGAGAGGACCAGGCCTGGACTATTACGTCATTTTGTTTATCTGTGTGCGGCAGTCGTCCGCGAGCGGCTGCCGCTTTTACATTCGTTTTGTGTTTGTTTATTTTATAATTGAAGTCTTTAAACATTTGCATGTTCCCGCCTCCTTCCCTGAACTAACAAACCTTGCTACACCTTTATTACCGCTATAACTCCTAATTAGTTAATGTATTAACTAACATGAACTAACAATGAACAATACATTAGTTACAATATTATTAATCTTTGTTAATGTTAGTTTATTAAAAATAGAGTTGTTCATTGTTTGTTCATGTTAGTTCACAGTGCATTAACTAATGTTAACAGATACAACTTTTGATTTTAATAATGTATTAGTAAATGTTGAAATTAACATTAAAGCTACTGTAGGTAACTTTTGAAAAAATGTATTTGCTAAAACTGTCATTATGTCCTGACAGTAGAATATGAGACAGATAATCTGTGTAAAAATCAAGCTCCTCTGGCTCCTCCCAGTGGTCCTATTGCCATTTGCAAGAAATACACGCTCCCGGTCAGAAACAACCAATCAGAGCCAGGAGGAGTGTCTTAGCAGTGTCAATCACGCTCGTGTCCGCGCTGATCACACCCCTCTCTTGCACAGCGCGAGCCGTCGTTCAAACTCAAGATTGCCGGCGTGCTGCAGCTGTGCTTATGATGGAGAAACAACCTAAACGGCCAATTCTCGAGTGACACCTGCTCATAAAACAAAGAGGTAAAAGGAAAAAGACTAATGACGATAAACAAGCGAAAAAGAAAGAATTACACAGAGCCCATTGACTCGGTGTCAAAACTCTAGCCGCATAACATGTGGATAAAATGTCACGCACTCTGCTAAGCAACAATTGAAACCTGCTAATTCACTGGCTTGTCATGTTGCTGAAATAATGTACTAGCACACTTTATCTAGCATTATATATCGCTAGAATAATTACTTACATTCTGTAACGTTAGTTACCGTTATATTAACGTTATATTACTAGCTATTTATAACTTATAGAAAGAGTGCAACGTTATAAAGTTACATGTAGGCTATTGCAAAATACATAATGATTTGAGGACCAAGTTTGTAGTCAAAGTATGGGCAGGCCATAGTCAATGTAAAGCATATTATTGATGTTTAGTCCCTATTAGTGAATGTGCCATATAACTTTTTATCCGCTGTTATCGGTGGCCCTGTTTACTAGCCTGCGCGTTCACGACAGGCTCCGCTGTGGAGGACGAGCTGTGGAGGGAGGGCTGTAGCGCAGCAGAGAGCAAGGGGGTGGGACCTGTAAGTTATGCTTGTTCAAATTTTCAGGCTAAGTCAACGTTTTCTCAAAAACTACTGCAGCTTTAAATAAGATTAATAAATGCTGTCGAAGTAGGGATGGGCGATATACTGTATACATGATAAACCAGAAGACATTGGTCAACCGGTAGAGATTTTTGACTATCGTCTCTATCGCGGTTACGCTCATGTGATGTTGCTTTGTTGCGAGGTCTTGAAAGCTTATCGTTTGCATGCGTTTTTTAAGCACTGCAGTTTAAAATCATGTGATTGAAGAGCAATTAGCAGCGAAACAGAACTCCTAATGACCATGTACTTGCAAGTAAACAAATCAATTTATGTCTTAAGTGAACGTAAATAATTGAGAAAAAAATACAAGTATATTGGATCCATGCAGTCGGTCTTAAAGTGACAGCATCCAAATGCTGTCATTATTAATGCTAATCAAACAACAACAAAAGAGAGAAAATCTCTCACTGCTCTTGACTGAATCACTTTTGTAACTTTAATAAGAATAAATGTATATTTAATTTAGCTACACAGTAAAGACTATGCATTTTTTATACATTTACTTTATACATTTTATGTAGTATTTCTAGTGCTTAAAAGTTTTTCAGGTAGTCCTTTTTCATGTGTCTTTGTTCTTTTGTACTTTGTTTTCATTGTGCTTTCTTTTTCAGTTTACTAGTCTTCAGTAAGCTTGAGAGTTTTTTTCATGATATATATATATTGTTATTGTGAAATAAAACTACTCATATTGCGATATAAGATTTTTGTCATATCGCCGACTCCCATGTAGAAGTATAAATCATTATTATAGTAGTTCACTAATGTTAACTAAACAACGGTAAAGTGTTACTAAAAACAGTACAGATTACGCAATATAAATGCCAGATGAAAATTCTTTCAAATGATGATGGTGAACATATGCAAAAACTTTATATCTGATATCATTTCATTATAGAAAAACTTCAATGCAGGTCAAAATGTGTGTACTGAGGGAACAAAAAAAACCTGAATTTGATATTCAACACAAAAATACACTCGCTTCTTGCGCAACCTGCCATGTCCTGCATTTCACCAAGTAGACTTCAAAGACATGGACAGACATCCTCTATTTCAGTTTAATTACCGCATTTCCCAACTGTGGGGCTTCACCAGACCTCGACACTTTCAACTCATAAACAAACCCTTAACGAACGTGAACTCTTCTGCAATGACTCACCCTGCCCTCGCATTACAGTTTCAAGGAAAATGACACAATCTAAAGCGTCACGCTGAATAATTAGTCGGCAAATTACTGTCCAATGCATATATATCTTTTGTAGGGAAATTCATCCTGAGCAAATACATATGAAACCGTTTAGGCAGCCTAAGCAAAATGTATGAAATCCCATCTAGGGCCTCAAGCAAGTTAAATCTTGGAGCAGCCCAGAGCCAACACACCGTCGGTGTGCCAGTGAGATAGTCGACCACGTCCCCTTCGCTGAGGCCCTTTTCCCCTGACAGAACAAAGAGCACTCAAGTCTAATTCGAAATTGATTGCCACTCATAATGCGTGCAGAAATATGCATTGGAAACGAGTGTGCTTGAATGAGGAACAGAGCTTGGCAAGTCAGAAAACCAGAGAGGATTCATAGGGGATGGAGCCGTGCATTCCACCGCCAAACAAACTTTGCAGACGTATCGCTTTCCTGCATTTAGAGGGTTTAAAAAAAAAACTGAACTGTTTTTCTCATGTTTGCATTCCGCTTTCTAGTATTTACAGAAAATAAACTTTCTTATATATGAGGAATGCACATCTGGGCAGATGTTGTCTATGTAGGGCTGCTATGATGATGTCTTTAATACCTGGCTAAAGCGAGGCCTGATGTGGAAACTAAGAGAGTGGTCTGTATTTAAGGAGTTTTTCAAAAGCAGTCGAGACAGTTTGGACTGTGTACACTGGATCCAAGGTTAAAATACACAAAGAGATTCAGCACAAATGACTGGAGACACTGTTCCCAAACAGTTTTAAAACAAAGACCTTTCCAAGAGATTATAAGCATTAAATGTCCCGTTCTGTCTTATGTCTAAGATGTACAAACAATTATATTCACCGTCCACAGTAACCGCACAGGCAAGCTTATGAAAGCACACTGGAGTAAAGAAGAGTAAGGGAAAGCAATGGCAACTGTAAATGCCCGGCTTCTGATTGGCTGTTAATGTTTTTATCTTTCATCAACTGAAAAACAAACAAAGTGAAAGTGCTATCTAATGCTGTTATCGTTATAGTTGTTGTGTGGACTCTGCTATTCTTTTACATTTAGAACAATCTTCAAAACTATATTGTTATCGCTATAGTTGTGTGATTAGGCCTTAAAACACAGAAATGTAACATCAGTAACTTTTTGTAGCGCATATTCCATTGGTCGTGCTTTTATATGAAGTCTCAATATAACTTTTAAACGTCCTTCTTAATCATTAAGATAAGTCTAGTTTTTAAAGACGTTGTGCTTTGATTAACATATACACATTCAATTTAATTCTACACAAAATATTGAAGTTTACCATTTGTTGTTACATTTATCACAAATCTCCATTACGATTATAGAGCTACATTGGCCTTGTTACACAATTAAGTGATTTTAGTAATGACTGCTAATATGTCAAAGTTGCTTGAGGCAAACTGCTATCTATGCTCTCCTCTATTTAGTCATGTGACGCTGGCAGAGTTTATTTTTGGACACATCGCCTTGCTATTGTTAACAGTTATTTTTTTCCTAAATACCTACACAAAGTATCCAGCTTCACAGTAAACTGAAAAAGTATGGCTGATCAAGCCCATAAGGGGACAGGATCCCCAACATTCAAACTAATGACAAACCAATATGCGTTTCAATTAACAAATTGTACATTTTTGTAAAATGAAAATAATAATAAAAGATTTTAATGGTATTCACATTTGTTTACATTATCAAAGATGAAGATTACTGACATAAATAGAAATTATAAAAAAGATGAAAATATATAATACAATAAAAAATACATTTAAAACATGGAAAAACAACTTTTAAAAGACTTTAAAAAGCCAATTTTTTTTTTTTTTTAAAGACAAGATAAGATAATGAAAAAATATTTGAGAAAAGCAACTCTAATCAAATTTTTTTTAAGTAATTCAATAAATATTTATATATATATATATATTTTACTCTTATTTAAAAAAAAAAAAAATTTAAAGTCCAGTAAATTTGCAATACGTAACATTTCTACGTAGTACACAAGATACTGTAGATGAATGTTTTAACAAATAACGCTGTTCCATAATAAATACATCATCACGTAGGCTACTCAACAGGTATCGAGCTGCTAGTTACGGTGTACATGCGAAGTTATTTCCGTTTTTCAAATGCAAAAACTTACAACATAACGTTTTTTTGACATAATAAACTGCTTATCTTCAGTGCAGCGGACAGATTTCCAAGCGCAGCTCCCAGAGCTCACAGTTATATGATCCCCCTGGGGTCGCCGAAACTTTCTTCTCACTGTCACTATGATGCCATTTCTAACGCATACAACATTTTCCCACAAATGTAGCTGCTAAAAGTGCTTCTGGTCAGTCCTTACCTTACTTTTCTTCAAACTTTAAACGAGCATTTTGACGCGGTTCCTCTCCATTGCTTTGGCTTCGCTTCACCTTCGTAGTAGAGTCAGAGGATTAGATGAGACTTCCCCTCCTCTCTTCCCATTGGAGAACAGCTCTGTCAGTACACACATGCTCGCGCCAGGATTTCCTGTCCTGGGCGGTGTTTCCACTGGCTTACTACCATTCTTTTCGTAAAAAAAAAAGTGTGTAGGGTGCCTTCTGCACATTTTCTGTATGTGATTTTTCTATAATGACTGCAACAACCATGATTGTTTTTAATTATTATGATTACAGATGAACAGTAAAATCTAATCTCAATCACACAAAAGGAAAAGTACAACTAATTACAGTCTCCAGTAAGCTCACAATAAAACTTTGGAAGCGTTTATAATTAAATTATACAAATTATACTAAATTATACCTACAATCATTATTAATAATGCACACGTATGCATACACGCCTATATTAAAACTCTTAAAGTAGACAAGAAATTGAAGTTTTGATAGAGTTTTCGTAACACTTTACAATTAAGGTTCATTAGTTAGCATTAGTTAACCTTGGTTAACATGAACAAAGAATGAATACTTCTACAACATTTATTAATATTAGTCGATATTAATTTCAACATTTACTATTAAAATCAAAGGTTGTATTTGTTAACAGTGTGTGAACTAATGTGAACAAACAATAACAGTTGTATTTTTATTAACTAACATTAACAAAGATTAATTAATACAGTAACAAATGTAGGCCTATTGCTCATTGTTAGTTCATGTTAGTTAATACATTAATAATGATAACTAATGAACCTTACCTTACTGTAAAGTGTTACCAACTTTTCTTTTCTATTGTGACGTTTACCCCAGTAGTGAGACGGCTTCTCAGACAGATGCTTGTCCAAACACCCACACTGGCGGTCTTTGCACTTGACCACTTGTCTCCTTGCATGACCAATTTCCTCTATTTTCAAGTAGGCGTAAAGACTGCGAGAGTGTGTAGAACTTTTGATTACTCGATGGGACACACGTATAGTCGTGCAAATAATGCAAGTGTCAACAGAGCTTTTATTTATTATATTAAATATCAATTTGGGCATTTCTGCCTTGTCCTAATACCCACACTTGTGGTCTTGGCCACTAGCGTGTGTACGCGACAGGAAGTAAGTACGCAGGAATGTCCCACGTCTTAAAAATGACAAAGTGCAGTGCCCTTAATGCACACTAAACCCACACTATCTCCAATACCGCTATATTCAAAGCTAAGCGTATCCCATCATCGTGCATTATGTTCGGGAAATCGCGAGATGTCGAGGAAAACATTCCACTGTAATTTAAATGAATTCAATACATGTAATTTGGTATAGTAAAAACAAGTGTTGCACATTTTATTGGTGCAAAGATGAGTATGTGTAGGACTATTTTGTAGGACATTTGCAACTGTTTTTTATCATTTTATTAGAAGCACAACAATTTTAAATTTGTGTGTTCTGTTAGTTAGCGACTACTGAACAAACATGTAGAAGTTTATTTTAAAATGCAAAGTATTGAAAATATAATACATTTAAAAACACTTGTAAAGACTATAAGTGTGTCCCATGGAGTAATCAAAAGTTTTACACACACTTGCAGTCTTTACGCCTACTTAATAAAACACTTGGGCTAAATAGAGGAAATACATCATGCAAGTAGACAAGTGGTCAAGTGTAAAGAACGCAAGTGTGGGTATTTGGACGAGGCAAAACACAAATGTAGAATCAGGACTTGATTTGAATTGATTGGATTGTTGTGGATGGTTGTGTTTTGCTATTGGTGGATCTCATGTGAGTGACAGGTTGCTCCGCCCTCACGCCAGTGAACGCATCATCAGAGAAGAGATGCTGCAAGAGAGAGGGGAAGTGATTGCGGTTTTTTCGACTGCGGAAGTGATTCATTAAGGTTGTGAGGCACATGAATTAAAATAATAATAATGATGTGCTCTAATAAATTGATACTGCCATATTCTTAATAAAAAAAAGAAGAACAAGAATTTTGATTTCATGGTGACTTAAAATTATAATACTTTTTATGAATTTTGTCCATTTTATTTTTGGGTGTGGTTTGTCACCATGGAAACAAGATGGGTTCATGCACTGAATACTAAACATAATATTAAGCCTGAGTTTTTGCACACAACATTGCAGAAATGGCATTTATGATGTTGTCAGCACATTCCCCTGCAGGTTTTAGGTCAATTAAATCCACCTTTTATGGACATTACTGTCATATTTCATTTTATTTCACTGATATAATTTGCCGTGAATAATTTGCGTATTTCACGGATATAATTTCACTGATATAATTTGCCGTTTTTTACCTCAGAAAACATGCCTCTTGTCAGACTCCCTGTGCATAAACTTGCCAGTCAGGCAAAAAGATCTTCCATTCACAGTTGAAATAATTGAACTTCAGTGAAATGTTTGGCAGTTGTGATACATTGCCTGTTGTTTACACAGATTTGCCATTGTAAGCTATGTTTGTTTTTCAGTGAAATGTAATGTGACCTTGTTTATAGTTTTGTGTTTTCACTGTTTTTGAAGCATGTCATTCAGATTTCCAGATTCAAAATAAAACTTTCCACAAGCATTGGAGTTTGGTTTGGAATTGTTTTGTAATAAAAAAAAAATGCTATATTGATGTTTTGAGGTTTGATGTTTTTGCAACTTTTCAAGAACAATCTATTTGAATTTGGTGTGGTTTCCAGAATATTTAGTAACACTTTCTATGAAACCTGTATATATTGTGCATTATAATGCAGGAGGCAGGACAGTAAGTGTAATCCACAAATGATTAATCTACACGTTTATGATATGCCAGCAACACCCTTTATATGTGATAAAGGGTACATATGTTTATATGTGATAAAGAGTTGTCACAACCTGTTATGTGTCATTTGCTTTAGCCTATTCTTTATGCAACTTTTCTCCATTGTTCATTTGGTCATTTACTCAGCAGTTCATATGGTGTCATTGCTTAGCCAACTGTACATAGCAAATGCAAATGTGCACACTCTGTATTAGGATAGGCATTGCTTGTTTTCTCATAGGAAAAACACTTTTTTTGTATGCAGTTGTTAATTATGTATGTCTTGAAATTTGAATCTGGTCAGCACTATCTTTATTAGACCCAGTATAAAAGGCCTGACATGGAACCCATGGACAAACTCATTTAGGGGACATAATTTGGATAATTCCGATAGAGCCAACATGGAATCTGTGGACAGGCCCATCCCAGGTGTGTATGGATCCACAAACCCATGCAGGGTCCATACTAGGGCTAATTCAGATAGCACCATAATGGATCCCATGGACAAACCAATGCACGGCCCATACTGGGGCTAATTCGGATAGGGTCGACTTGGAGCCCATCGACAAACCCATTTAGAGCACATAATGAGCCTAATTCAGATAGGCACAACATGGAACCCATGGACAAGTGTTAATTTCGTTAACAAAAACTATGACGAAAAATGTTCGTTGACAAACTTTTTTTCCCTGACTAAAACAAGACGATGAGAGACGACACCTACGTAATTAAACGACAACTGTGACGATATCAACACATGCAATACCCTACTGTTGACGAAAAAAGGCGAGACTGAAAAAAATAAAAACTTGACCAAAACCACTTGTTTTTGTCGCATAGGGCCTAAAGGAGGAGACAACACATTACACACTGTTTTTACGAGCGTGTATGCTTACGGTTGCCAGATTCCAATGAGTTAACCCCCCAGCTTTTCTGTTAACATACCCGGTATTTTCAATAGTATCTGGCAACCATATAAGCGCTCTCTCCACAGCCACACACTGCTGAAGAAGCATCTGAAAACACAGACAAGTAGGCTGGAGTGCAGCGATCTTCACTTGAGATTTTCTCAAATTAAAGTGTCATTCAGTCGGTCTGTGTTCTGTAACGAGACGCTTGCGCTTTTGGCGATTTTAAATCTAGCCGCGATCAAAATGCAGCAGTGGTTCTCAAACTGAGGTACGTGGGGTGACCATGGACTGTAAAAAAATATAGTGACAGGGGGTACGCGAACAAAATCCTGAGTTTTTCCGTTCATTTAATTCTACTTCACCTTAAAATAAAGCGGAGCAAGTATTTCTAGCAGGTAAAATGCGGTAGGCCTAATAGGCTACATGTATCCAAATCATCTTTCACGGTCAAAACTGACTGCATCCACAAAAGCCAGCAAATCGCACTAGGCCTACATTATTGCTGTTCTCCACAATATAACGTTACCTTTGCAAAAGTTAGGATTTAATACTTACTAGCATTAAGAACAAACCTAGACACAGACTTTGCAAGATTAAAACTCTCTTCGATACAAAAACATACCCTGTGTGAGTGATCATACGAGCAAGAATGCAATGTTTCCCGAATATCCACACGATTTCAAATGTGACATTGATTTTATACAACAGTTCAACAAACAAAAGGGAAACATTAAGTGATGTAGCTACTAAACAGTATTGTCATCATTATAGGCTATATTGCCAACGAAAGCCATAGCAGAACTGCAGCACAGCGGTGATCGTGAACGAATCTGTGGCTTTGAACGAATCGTGAGATTCAATGTCCTGTTCATAAAAATACCATAGATGTAGGCTTCATAATAAAGGCATTATGTATATGATAAATACAGTCACTTGCTTCGTTACTGAATGAATGATGACTCGATGACTCACTCATAAAGACAGTGACTCACCACTACTGCCGATTTTAATTAAATATTTAAAAGTACCATAATTGCATATTTATTGAACATTGTTTAAAGCATTATTTATTTTATAAAGGAATTTATAAAGGTAAAAAATGAACTGGAAAAAATCAATTAAAGGGGTCAAATATTGTTCCTTAAAGGTGCTCTATGTAGCTTTTCTTCTAAAATGAATCCTTTTTTTTATTGCCTGTGTGTGAAGGGGTTGTAATCACACATGGCAATGATCCACTTGTCGGGTTTTGCTATTACCTCTGAAGGCCAATATTCATATTTATATGTGAAGTCTCCGGGTCGGATTTACAGCAAAATCCATCGGATGTGACGTGCATGCGCGCTCCCGAGCCT